CACAAGAAGTTCCAGCATAATATGCTGGACATTAGAGCTCCTACATATGAACTTCCAGCATATTATGTTTGAACTCCGATACATCATGAAATTCAATCACATTATGCTAGAATCATATACGTAAAAATTCGAACTCCAGCATATTGCGCTGGAATTTTTCCGAATTTTTAAGGGTGACTTTGTTTAGATTTTATTTTTACATGAAAATAAATTTTTTATTACTTTTAAAACTGTAGCTATTTTTCAATTATCAGTTGTAAATTTGAATATTTCTGAATTTCCACCTGCTATTAAGTACTAGTAATAATTGTATTTATGCAAAGAGCCAACAAAAACTTATCTCATATCATTTTATAGAAAAGTGGCAGTTGGGGGAACATCTCTTTCTATTCTCATTGTTTTATCTGAATCCCAGTGGCCAGCATATGATTTGTATTAGGAATTAAATATTTTTCGAAGTATTAAGAGTTATATCACTGCCTTTTTTTTTCTTTGTTCCTTCCATTATTGTTCTTCATCTTAAAGTAATTGTTGACTTCCCCTTCTCGCTAAAGGTCGAAGTTAAAAGTTTATGAGCTTTGAATTTACATTGTATTGTAGTTCGTAATTATTGGATTTATAAATTTACACACTTATTTAATTAATTACCTATATTCCTATACAAATACAAATAATGACGGGGCTAGAATTTTCACTAAGAGGGATTAAATATAAAAAAGTAAATCCACGAAGAAGCCAAATGATATTAATATGTATTATATATACATTTAAAAAAATTACCTAGCTACACAATATAATTTTTCGGTAAAGAAGTGTCGATGACACCCATTGAATACTAAATATAAAAATTTAAGCAAAAAAACTACTAAATTTGTCTGAATCAGTACTTAATACTCTAACTCCGCCCTGCCCCCACCGAACTAAAAAAAAAAATATAAGACGAAGAAATTGATGTTAGATATAATTGAAGATACTTTACAAAAGAAGATTATTTTCTTCTCTATGTTTGAGTCAGTTAAGATTTAAGTTTTTGATTTGTTTGTTGAAAGAAGGTCAACCCCACCTCATGGAAATGTTACTTCACCTCATTCTTTTTTGTTTCCTACTCAATGTTCTATTTTCACTTGCAGCCTTATTAATTTGAATTCATGCTTCGTAAAATTAATTAAAAGAAAAGCGTTCTTCATGAATTTTTTTCATTTTCGAAACTCGAACCTATACTTCACCTTTTCAATTAACATGAATCAATTGGTCAATAAAATTTTGCATTTGTAAGCGACATGAACCAAGAGAATAATTAGTTAATGAATGGCCTATTTGCAGGCAGAGATGGACCCAAAATTCGGCGGTCACAGGATTATTATAACATTCAATATAAATTTATTGTTGCTTATAAAGATTGGTATCGGAGCCTATACTAATATTTGGCCATCTTTTGAAGACATTTGTAAATATCTATAGAGTTTTTTCTAAAAATTTTAGATATCGATAACCTCTCAACCTATAGTGTAGGTCCGCCTCTGCTTCTAGGATAACCATATCTCTGCCGGCCCCATTCAAAAGCATATACTGACTTGTTTCTATGAGCTTTCCTAAAATAATCTATCAATTATTGGCCACCAAAAAAGAATATCAAACACAAAACTTTCTCTTGAAAATGTTGTCGTGCTCTACTGTGAATCGTGATGGTATGATTAGGATCTCTACATCTTTAATTCAAGATTGTGTTTGCGTTTCGCCAATAAGAAAATTTTATGTATTTAATGCATTAATTGGTCTAGATCAGATATAGCTGGTTTTCCGTTAAATCTATTTCAGTAGAGCGTATGTGTCACGATCCAAATCTCAACATGTCGTGATGGCATCTATCACAGTACTAGGCAAACCGACAATCACAAAGCTAAACTAGAAGCATGATATAATAAGTTTAACAGTGAAAACTCTCATAAAACCGATAAGCACAACTGCGACTCAACTAGAAAATCTCCCAAAATCCGGGTGTCACTGAGTACATGAGCTACTAAGTGTCAACACAATCTAAACCTCTAATACAATTGTCAGAAAGATAGAACACTACAAAATAAACTAAAAGGAAGGAGAGTCGAGGTGTCCGGGCATCATAACAGTTACCTCAATAATCTTCAAGCAGATACTGCACCAAGTCTAGCAACCGCCGTGCCCAGAAGTACTTGGATCTGCACACGAAGTGCAAAATATATTATGAGTATAACCGACCCAATATGCTCAATAAGTAACATGACTAACCTTGGGCGACTGAAAGTAGTGACGAGTCAGAAAGGTACAGTCCAAGTCCAGATAATAACAGTACAGATATAACATGAAAATGATAGTAATGACTCAAAGAAATCCTATAATCAATTCGTACACTTTACATAAATGTAGACATGCTTTTAAGTTTAACAGTTCAAGCTCAATACTGATAAAATATGCCAGGTATGAGGAATGTTACATCTCTATGTCTACATGTCAAATATGCATGTCACATGTAATGCATCACAGTGATAAACACGTGTACACACCCTCAGAGTACTCAATCTCACTGTGTCACACTCCTACCCAGCACACTCAATCACCTAGTACTGTACGGTGCCTGCGCTCACTGTTGGTATGTCAGACTCCGGAGGGGCGGATCTTGCCCAAGCGCTAATATAAAGCCAATATAGCCTGCTGCGGCGTGCAGCCCGATTCCATAAAAATAGATAAAGCCTATAAGGTCTGTTGCGGCGTGCAATCCGACCCATAATAATAATATATATAAAGCCCAGAAGGCCTGCTGCGGCGTGTAGCCCGATCCACGACCTCATCACAACACAACTTTCAGGCCCAACGCAGTCATCAATCTCTCCTGTCTCTCGGGCTCACAAATCTCATGCTAATCAGCCCAAACAATGATAACATGATGTAACAATAAATGTCAACAGAGACTGAGATATGATATGCAAATGATCAATATGACTGAGTACATAACTATAATTTAAGCAAATAATTCAACAGCAGAAATAACCTCAGTGGGTCTCAACAAAATAAGCATATAGCCTAAACATGGTTTCTAACATGGATTGCAATTCAATTACTCTAACACGTAGGGATTACATGAATAACAACAAGGTTTGATAACTACACGGCACCGCAGAATCAACCAAGTCACAATTACTACGGTGCACACCCACATACCCTTCAACTAGCATGTGTGTCACCTCAACACCAATCACATAACATGTATTTTAAGAATTCTTACCCTCAGTACCAAGTTTAGAAGTGTTACTTATCTCAAATTGCGCAAATCACAACTCCAACAATCCCCTGCCTCGCGAATCGGCCTCCGAACGAATCGAATCTAGTCAGAAACAACTTAATACAATCAATACAAGATATAAAAATCGATTCCATACCACAAAGATAAGTTCTTTAACCAAAGTCAAATAGTCAACCCAAAACGTCAACCTGGGATCCACGTCTCGGAATTCAATAAAATTTATAAAATCCGAATACCCATTCAATAACGAGTCCAGCCATACCAAAATCATCCAATTCTGACCTCAAATCGTCTTTCAAATCCTTAAAATATAGTTTATGAAGTTTCTATAAAAAATTTCAATTTTTTCCAATCCAAAACACTAATTAAATGGTAAAAATAATGATAGACTCATGTATATTAAGCCGCTTACCCCAATCAACTCCTTGAAAATCCCTTCAAGAATCGCCTCAATCCGAGCTCCCAAAGTCCAAATGTGAAATAATACTCTAACCCTCATTTTTGAAATTAAATAATCTACCCAGTTGTTCCTAGTCGCGATCGCGAAGAACAAAAATAGTGCTGCCCTCAAAATGACCTACGCGAATGCGGAACCCCAGCCGCGAACGAGATGCACAGCAACTCAAACTTAGGTGTCGCGGACTCTCTCTCGCGATCGCGAAGAACTACCACATGGGCTTCCCAGGCCTTCTCTTCCTTCTTTGTGAACGCGGCATCGCTCACGCTTTCGCGTAGCACTGACTCCCCAAGCTTCGTGATTGCGAACCAATTCTCGCGAACGCGAAGTACAATTTTACCAGTCACCCAAACAAGACTTTGCAATCGCGGTCCTTCACTCGCGATCGCGTATAAGGAAACCAGCAACATGCATAACAGTAGTCCAACAAGTCCAAAAATGAGCCGAACATGAGCCGAATCACATCCGAGGCCCCCGGGACCCCATCCAAACATAACATAACCTAAAACATCGTACGAACTTAGTCGAAGCCTCAAATCACATCAAACAACATCGAAAACACAAATCACATCCCAATTCAATCTTAATAAACTATTGAACTTCCAACTTCTAAAACCAATGCAGAAACACACCAAATCAACTCCGATTGAACTCAAATTTTGCACGCAAGTCATAAATGATACAACGGACCTATTCCAACTCCCGAAACCAAAATTCAAGCTCGATAACAACAAAGTCAACTCTCGGTCAAACTTCTCAACTTTCCAACTTTCGCCAATTCAAGCCAAAACGATATACGGACCTCCAAATCAAAATTCAGACATACTTCTAAGTCCAAAATTTTCATAGGAAGCTATTGGAACCATCAAAACTTATTCCGGAGTCGTTTGCTCATAAGTCAACATCAGGTCAACTCTTTCAACTTGAGCTTGCAACTTTGGAACTAAATATCTCAATTCATTCCAAAACATCCCGGAAATCAAACCAATAACCCCAACAAGTCATATAACAACAACGAACATAGAATAAGCAACAAATGAGAAAACGCGGCTACAATACTCAAAACGTACGGCCGGATCATTACAATATGATGTCGATGGTCCGTGGTAGAACACTCAATGGGTTAGGGAGACCTCATTTCGCCTTTCCAGCTGAATGAAGATTAATAATAAATTTTTGTTCTCTCGTCATTAAAGAATAAAAAGGAATTTACATGGTAGGTACTTGATCATATTAAATAGTTTCACCATCCACTAGCCGCTTGTGACAGCAAAGAAATAAAATTGGGAGACCAAACTCCAAAATTCAAGCTTTACATAATCATGTGCAACACTGATAAAAGAACATGACACAAAATCATTGTTTGCTTTCTCCACAAAAGGATCTTTATTCACCTAACAACATTACAAAGCCACCACGATAATTATACACACACAATTAGGCTTTTGATTTTTCTATTTTCTCTTTCTTTTCTTAGTTCCCTTGTAACTATAAGATTACCTCATGAAGTAAAGGAAAAAAAAAAAAAAGAGGAAGCAATTAGAAATGTACAAAAAGGAACTACAATTTTTGAGTCTCCACGCCAGCTTGCACACATCTAGATTATTTCCACCGGTTACTTACCATCTTTCATCAGCACGAGTATTGATAAACTTTCAAAATTTAAGTACAGAAAGTATCGACATAACTTATTATGCTTAAAAAGAAAATTTTAAGAACGCTTAAAAAAGAAAATTTTAAGAGCGCCGATCTGCCACCATGATTCGAGTGGGACCCAACTCAACTTTTTTCACCCCCATCTAATGATCATTGATGATAATGAGAAATTATTCAAGAAATCCAGTTTTGGTTAAAACAGCATTTCTTACCCTACTTAGATCTCTTCCTTTCAATGTTCTTCCAACACCTTCACACACTGAAAATGAAGAAATTTGGTTTCTCCCTAATCTTTTAGCAAGCCATTCATGTGGAGGCATCATATTTTCTTCAATTTCTTGATCATCACTTTCCCAACTATTATTTGTCACAAAATTACCAATATCTTCCCTTAAACTTGTCCCATAAATTTTTGACCAATCTGGTATTTTCACAGGGGCTGAGTGTTGAATTATTTTGAATTCTTGAATTGAATTCTTGTTTGATTTTGGGATCATAATCTTGGCTGCAGTTGGTATTTGCCTTCTTGGATTCAAAGTAAATGATGGTTGATCTTTACTTGTTATGAACTTGGAATTAAGTTGGTTTTTTTCATTAATACTATTATTAGTATTACCCCAAATGTCTTCTTCTTGAAATTCTTCATTCTTGAAATTATATGTCCCTTCATTTGATGCCATCTTCTGAAAAAACACAAAATTCCAAGTCAACCAAGTTGCATATATGCACTAATTCAAAAAAAAATTATGTAAAAATAGAATCCCTTTTTTTCTCTCCCAAAAGACATTTAAACTCCTCGAGTCTCAATTCAAACCATACAATCAAGTCATATATAGGCATACAACAACAACAACATGCTCAGTGCAATCCGACAAATAGGGTTCAGGGAGGATAGTGTGTATGCAGATCTTACTCCTACTTTGTGTGAGATCGAGAGGCTGTTTCAGATAGCCATCGGCCAGTGGCGAAGCCACATGGTCACAAGGGTGTCAAAAATTTGTACTGTGTATATAGATAGAATATTACGTTTTAGAGGTATATAACATATATTGAACACCCTTTGTCGGAATTTTTTTTTTCCTTCTTTCAAATTTGAATACCCTTGAAAAAATTCCTAGCTTCTCCACTGCCCTCGGCTCAAAGAAAAAACCAAAGTAAGCTTGAGACAAATAGGCATATCAACATATAAACATATCAAAAATACAATTTAGAAAACGAACAAGCAAAACATTATGCATATATAAGCAAGATTACTTACCAAAATGAATTTTTTTTTTTTCCTTCAATTGAAACTTGCAAGAGATAGCTTACTACTTGAAATTTGATATCTGCATATATTACAAGACTTTAGTCCTCTCCATACATGAATAGGATTCTCAGGAGAGAGCCAAATGAGAGAAAATGTGTAAGCAATCAAGAAGAGAGAAAGACTTTAACTTTAGTCCTAAGAGATGTCTTAAATAATAGACTTCATGTTTATTTTAGTCTTTTATTTTTGTCTTAAAGAAAAGCTTGACGGTTTTATAGGGGAAGGTTAGTGAGCATATAATGTGAGTTGAGAAATTCATCTTAGGAAGTACTGGGTGTTCAAATCGAACCGCAAAACCGCATCAAATCGAAAAGTCAAACCAAGCCGAATAAAAAATCCGATTAGGTTTGGTTTGATTTGGTTTGATATTGAGTAAAAAAATCCGAACCAAACCGACGTATAAATATATAATTTTATATATACTTTTAAGACTTTATATGGAATTTTCTTTAAATATCTAGAAATATTTGGGATTTTCTTATGGAATGTAATATTTAATAGAATATGAAGTGCTCAATTTTTATTTACTTTAAATAATGGGATGTATCATCACTTTCTTATCAAGTGTTATTAAAATGCGTCAATCTCTTTGTTCTTCCATATTCATATGTCAAGATCTATTAAATTCTTATATCATTTTCGATTTTGAAATGGTATCTCGATAATATAAAATTAAATGGAACATATCATTATTTAGGTATCATATTGATTTTTATATTTAATTATTAAATTCGGTTAAACTTGAAAGCCTACATCAACGAAAAATTATTGCCAGATGACTAAAAAATAACTATCATGTGTTACTAAGAAAATCCTCCCATAAGAATATTTTAATAAATCATATGTTTCTCATTTCTTTAAATTTTTATTTAATATATACTTACTTATCAAATTTTAATAAAGTAAGATTGAAATAATATTCATGGAATAAAAAAACCCCGAAAACCAAAAAAAATTGATAAAACCGAACCAATCCGAACCGATATAGTTGGTTTGGTTTGGTTTGGTTTTGATAAAAACCGAATCAACCCGGTCCATGTACACGCATATTAGGAAGCACTTTACTTCTTAGTGTCCCTATTTGACGTGAATTTAAATTAACCGAGACGCGGAGCGAAGAATTTTAGTAAGGAAATTCAAAAAATTCGAACCTCCACGACCTCAAACAATTTTGAACTACTTTTGTTGCAATAATGAAAACTTTCCCTATACCAAGGGGATTCAAAAGCTTATATATACGAAAAAAAATTACTTTTGCCCTGTTTATATATACAATACAATTTTTCAACAAACAGGATTCAATTAAACCTCTTCATTCGCTCCGCGATTGAGTCAGGGTCCGTGGGATTCGAATTCCGATAAGTTAAACAAAAAAGAGCATACAATCAAAATAGTATTTCATTTAAACTAATTATTTAATAATAAGATGATTGTCATTCAGAGGTAGAGCCTTTATTTGAAGTTTATGGGTTCAGAATTATAGCATTTTAAGTTTCCGAGTTTTAAATTAATAATTTATACATATTAAATGAATTTTTTAAGATAAATAAAAGGTTTGGACCAAAGTGATTGGATTCGGCAGAACGTCCGAACCCGTACCATCAACGCTAACTCCGCCCCTATTGTCATACATTACTTATTAATTAGGGCTATTTATTGCAATTCACGTGTATTTTTTGACATAATTATCATATTGAGCTTAAACCTAGTTTTTATCATATATTACTCCTTGTTTACATGTATATATAAAACCAAATTTTCAAGATGACTTCGATAGTGAAGCTCTAATGATAATGATTTTTGGCTTAGCCAGAATAATATATGTTTGGTCAAAAGTTATTACAAAACTTACGAGTATAAAACAATATAAACAAATCACGGGATAATCATAGCAAATCGTAATAATTCGTTGGACCCAATGAAAGAAACGAAAATAAGTACTCAGGAATAAGGGTAAAAGCATTAGAAACCTTTATTGATAATATTTGTTTTGTCTGCCTCTCCATGGAGAGGTTCAGAACCTTACAATGGTGTTTTCTTTTCCCATAAGAGGGGTATATTTTCTCGATTCTATCTCCTCTCACTAGTGGTGAAGAAGCAGCCCCCCCGTCTGGGGTTTCCTCTCTTGGTATTTATAGCTGTGAGCTTCGTGAGCTGGCAATAAGTGGCCGTGACCATGTTGGGGTTTCGCCTTCCTGGTGGCGGATGGGCCGTGGCCTTGTTGATCGAATCAGATGAGGGTTGAATATAATTAATTCTGAGTGGTCGTGCCACTAATTAATCATGAATTAACTTAAAACGGGATTAGCCTCGTTAATTATCGTGGGGTCGGATTCTGACTCATACAATATAGTCACCCTAATTAACTCTATCAACATAGACAGGATTTCAGAATTAAAAATAAAATAAAAAAAGGTGTTTAATAATTGTACTTATCCAAATAATTACATTCCTCTAACGACGTGATAGCACGTTATCATTAATTATATGTATTTTTGACTTGTAATCTTAAGATGTTAATTAAAAATTGTATGAATTTCTTTAATGTAAATTACAATGTTTGCTGATTGTCAAAATGGTTATAAAATATATAGTCAACATCACATGCAATTTTTAGGGTGGTAAACTAGCTACTTTATTTAATTTGAATAAAGTAGAGAAGAGAAAGATTAATTTCATAATTTAGGATAAAGGAAATAATTTTCAATTTGGGTGGGTAACACATAGGATGTGTTTTTCAAATACTATACCAATAAAATGACAACTTAATCTACCATTGAAGGTAAAAATTTGATACGCATCCAAAAATATGTAGGTGATTTCTTTTATTCTGTTCAAGTTTTAGTGTACAAAATTATTTAATATTTGTACTAGTGAAAACAAATATCCTTATAAAATTAGCCGATTAAAGTGTATAAAGCTGGCCCGAACTTTACAATTATAAAAATATTCGATACGCATCTTCAATCCAATGTATCTGCATGTTTCTTGCTGCTGTCGATATTCATAGACCAATGATGAGCACAAATTAAGATTTTGCCAGGTTTAAGGGCAACCATCATTTCAAAACTCAGTTTTACGTAAGTCATAGAAAAGGAGAGAATCCTCGTAGTAATTTTGTTAGTTAATCTGTATTACTATAATAAATAATGAAACAGTAATTTTTTCTGAAACAGAAAACAGAAACAAAAAATTAGCAGCAACAGAACATCGAAATATAATTTTGGAATAAAATCGAGCCCATTGAATATACAGTGTGTCCTTAAGAAATCACCTATGTGAGTGTGAAGTGCAAGCCACTTCAAGCGGAATGAAAGTAAAGGCCCATTCTCTAAGCACTCGTGAAACTAGGCGGTGTTCATGGCTAAAACGAACACAACCGTAAGAACCATAGATGGTTAAGGGTTGATTGTGTGACTTATGTTGTCTAGGTATACAACAAAGCTCGACGGTTCAAAGATATCAAATCTACCGATTGACCAAGTATATCCGATATAAGTTCACTACGGAAAGTTCAAAGGGAAACCTACTTATCCAGATGCAATTTATTAATCTTTGCATGTAAATCACACATTCGTCCGTGCATTCCTTTGTCTTATAGCCATTCCCCATTCATGTGGGGGATTGTTGGGATTTGTCACGACCCGTAATTCCCACCGTCGGGATCGTGATGGCACCTAACATTTCACTTGCTAGGCAAGCCAACGTTAGAGGATTCTTAATACCAACCTTAAGCCAATTTCAATGATAAGAACAATTAAGCTAAACAAAAGTTAAAATTTGCTTTGCGGAATAACATAAACCCATAACATTTGATGCAATTAGGATCTGGAGTCACAACTTACGAGCTACTACGATTTACTACAAACAGAGTCTGAAAGAAAATACACTGTTCTGAAAGAGAAGAAACAGTAAAATAATATAACTAGGAAAAGACTCCAGGGTCTGCGAACGCCGGCAGATCTACCTTGGGTCTCCTGACGAACAAGTCCAGCTGCTAACCTCACGATCAACTAGGGCCGGTACTAAAATCTGCACAAAAGTGCAGTGTGTAGTATCAGTACAACCGACCCTATGTACTGGTAAGTGTCGAGCCTAACTTCGACGAAGTAGTGACGAGGCTATGACAAGACATCCCATAATAAACTTGTGCAGATAACAGTATATGTACATAATAACAACAGATAGAAGTTAGACAAGTGATATCGGGAGGGGGACATGCTGAGGGGAATACAAGATAAAAGAATAACGGCAACAATGATAACTATAACAACTAATATGCCTCGCACCAATGAAAACAATTAAACACAGTAAAGAAAAGTGCACGGCATCAACCTTCGTGCTTTTACTCTCAACCTCACCATATAAATCAAGAAACGGCACGACATCACCCTTCGTGCATTAACTCTCATAACATGGGACGTCATTACCCTTCGTGCATTAACTCTCACAATAGGGCACGACATCACCCTTCGTGCATTAACACTCTCCATTACCACATAACAATGAACAAGTAAAAACAGGGAGATAGGATCAATAAGTATAAGTCTTACTTCAACAACGGTTCCACAATACCAATCTCAACTCAGAATCCATAATCAATTATCACCAAAGCTCATAAACATGATAAGAACGATCAATTTAATAATTAACTAGTCTAAGCATGGATAATATGATCAAGGAAGCAACAATTACAAGAAACAAGTCCCACCCACATGCTATAACCCGACAACAACGCATAAGTACTCGTCACCTCACATATACGTTGTACCCAACATCTAAACACGTAGCAAATAGACAAATAAGTCTTAATCCCTCAAGTCAAGGTTAACCACGACACTTACCTCGCTCCAAAGACCAAACTCAAAGCTCAACCACCGCTTTGACTTTCGAACAAGCCTCCGAACCAATAGAATCTAGCAATTTACCAACCAAACGATTCAAATTACGCCGTAGGAACTACCCACGATTGTAAAGAATTCAATTTAGGTCATTATTGAAAAGTCAACAAAAGTCAACACCCAGGCCCGCTTGGTCCAAACCTGAAATTCGAACGAAAACCCAATTACCCATTCACCCCCGAGCCCGGTTATGTGATTTGTTTTGGAATCTGACCTCAATTTGAGGTCTAAATCCCCAATTAACCAAATCCATAGTTTCTACCCAAAACCCCTAACTTCCAC